CAAAGTCATTAGCATTTATCTTCTAAGGACCTTAAATACTGTATTTGTAGCAACTAGTATGCCACTAGTACTGTCAGGTTGCTGGGCTGCACCTGCCTCTCTTTGTTTTTCGGTTCCTGGTTAGGCCACATTTCACACCTGCCACACATTCCTTAATTAACACCAGCTGCATTCACTCAGTCCTTCACCATACTTATACACAGCTCACTTACCACTCCCTTGCTAGTTTGTCGTTGCTTTCATGCCGACAACCTGCTCCACTTTGTATTCTTTCTCGTATCACTAGTTTTTTTTGTTTTTTTATTTTTGCATTCTGGATTGTTACCTGTTGTAACAAGTATGGCTAAAAATAAAAGGTGTAAACATTCCAAGGTTATAGGAACAATGCTTCATTTGAGCAAAATACACAGTAATAATAAAACAAACGACACTCTAACCTTTACTGCTGTTGTCTACATTTCAGCAAATATCACAACAGCAATATGATGACTCTTCTCTAGTTCTCAGCACTCCATCTCCACTCTCTCCATTATCCAGGTTGAACGCAGTAGGTTTTTGGCTGGCAGACTGGCAAACAGATGCTGATTTGTTAAACCTGAGAAAGCACAGCGAGACTCCTGAACACTGCCCCATTCTCTGGCATATTTTCCTCTACAAGCCAGCTTTGTGCTGGGGTGGGTGTACTGCAGAACGGAGTGGAGGGAAATTAAGTGACCAAATCTTTATCTCATATCCATCTGCTGGGGGGAGGTGAGTGCAACTGGACTGTGTTCACACTTGACAAACCACTGACTAATCTAGGCCAATTTACAAGACAAGCACATTAAAGCTCAGAGACCAGAGAAATCAAATCCCTCATTTGTGAAACCGTGTGCGTTTAATGAGCAATGCCATTATCAGCGCATTTGATCACGTATTGAAAATCCATCCAGCAGAGGTGAACAGTCCACTTTAAGGGACAACAATGCAACAACGTTCCTCACAATGGTGCAAACAGATTCGGTATTTGAGTTTTAATTTTCCTCCAGGTGGCACAAATAATGAATGAGACTTTTTATCATCACGGCTCAATGGGCCTGAACAGGTTGGGTTATTAAAAAGTCATTGACGCTTCACTCGATCTCAGGCAAAGGGATAAATTAAACTGGTAATATATGATTGCCCTCAACTGGTAGTTATATTCAAAGTTCATGTTAATGAAGAAGCAGAATATTTCTGTACTTTTCAGATGAAAACTAATATAAAGCAGAGCACTGTCAATAGAGAGCTCTGTTATTATAGAAAACCTTTCCTCACTTGTGAAATTTCTCTTTAAATTTCTTTCAAATATCTTCATCTATTGTAATTATGACATGGATGTCTTCTGTCTCATCTTCAGCACTGGCATCATGTCTATGATGCTGACAGGGGATAAAGCAGCATAATAGCTGTTTAAACTGATCCCGGAGAAATGACACATCATCTTGGCAGAAGAGGAATTGTTCTTGTCCAATTGAAGATGCGTTGTCTTTTGAGCAGGAAGTGACTGTGAGTGGTGGATTTCAGTTCCATTCAGCATTAATCAGCAGAGGGGGGTTTGTTTTTACATCCTTCTTTGCAATAGCCTACTGAGTGTGCCTCCTGTCTTCCCAGAAAGTCATCAGTTTATCTGAATATTGCTGAGGGAGAAGAAGGGAAATTGCATTAATATTCTCAAATTTTGTCTGCTTTATTCTTTGTCTCCTTGTTCTTATTGTCTCCTTGTCTCTCTAAGAATGTCTTTGTCACCACCATCCAATGTGACTTTAAATCAGTTTAAAAGGAAGAGAGATTTTCTTCATTTTGGTTTGTGGCTCTATCTGCTTATATTCCTCTCTTCTTCCAGTCTCTTCCTTGTCAACCTCCCTAACCATTTCTTTCCCTCTAACTCAAGCAGCAGGCCTTTTCCCCCTGAAATTCATTTTAGCCTTGATGGATATACTAAGCACCAACAGCTTTTGATTTAGGCTTCTGATGCTGTCTGCCTCTCCTAACATCCACTTTGGGTGCAGTGCTCCATCACATTGATTTCTCTGAAGATGAAACTCTGATTGAACAGACCTCTCCTGGCAGCCGAGGGCCCACACATGTGTTGTGCTATTACAGCATATGAAGGAGGACACTGATGCACTCTATTGCCTGACTAGCAAATGAAGTAACGTCAGTGAACCAATGCATCTTATACTGTTTGACCTATATTTAAAGATTAGTCTTTAATGTAAAATTAGTCCTGTTTCAGTTCCTCTGAAACCAAATTCTGCACTATTATGATGGATATACTCTGCAATTAAATGGCTACATTTCAGCATGTGCAGAGGGATGTTTACAGAGACTGACAGATCAAATTCCCATTGAGCCAAAGACTAGGACTAAACTTTTTTTTTTACTTTGCCCCCCACTTTTTTAGGCTTTTAAAACTACAGCTCTTTTCTTCACCCAGAATTTTTTGTACTTGGATGATGACCTCTGATGCATTCAGTGCCAGAGCCCAGAATTTACTTCCCAAGCCCCCCCACATCTCCTGAGCCACAGCCACCCCCAACCAATGCCAATGTTAATTAAAACTCATAAGGCTCAGAGCATCTTTGTTGTGTATGTGTTTGTTGTGATGCTTGTGTGTGTGTGTGTGTGTGTGTGTGTGAATATGCCAGTAGCTTGTGTTGCCAGGCACATGCAGGTGGTATGGAGCTGTGTCTAACCTTAGGGTGAAGGTAGCTGCTGCATAATTCAGATGAACCTGTCTTCTTTAGTCTCCTATATGCTTCTTATATCTGCACCATCCATGTGCTCTGATCAGGATGTGTGCCATGGCATTATACTTAATTTTAGAAAAGACTGCTTATACCTGACTTGCACACACTACATTTAGGGAAATGATTTGATCTCCTGATTTTTCAATTATGCATGAATGTAACATTAAGGCTTTAATTAAATAAATGTCATGACTTCTTCACTGTATTACTTCTTTATCCAGAAATAAATGAATGCTGGAAGGAATTAGCAGGAGCTCTAATGACCTCTTGGTCATTATCAACTGAAAGCCTCTCCTGTACCTACTGTAAGCAGCTGTCTGATCTTCATGAGAAAAGCTTTCCCTTGTGGGATGTTATTCCTCTGCTTTACAGTATATCTCACTTACACATATAGACCCCATCTGCAGTAAACAAAGTTGCTATTGCTTGTGCATGTTCACAGCTGATATACCTTTACCTAAACACTAGGTTTTTGCAGTCTTGGGACCAAAGGAAGTACATTTCCATATCCCCATTGGACACAGTACTGCAATGCTTCTACTAGTTATAAACAAGATTGGATTAGGATCAGTTGATCACCTCCTCATTTTTTCTTTTATTTTCTTTCAAGCAATGTTGGCAGACAGACTTCTATAGCTGCAAAAGAAAACCTTTCTGAAAAAGAAAATTATGTGTGTCGTGCAAAGTGCAAGACACCCCTGGAGGCAAAATTATATAGCACAAATATACCGTAGTATTTGCTGCATACTAACAGGAGCTAATTTGATCCCGTTTACCCATTTTCTGCTGATAATAATGTGAAAAGATTATAGTTTCGTTCATGGGGAAGAGACAGTGGTGCGGTGGGTTGAGCAGTCATCTCCCAACCAGAAGGCTGAAGGTTCGAATCTCAGTGCCAGCAGTCCACCTGCCAAAGTGTCATTGGGCAAGACACTGAACCCCCTGTTGCCCCCGATGGTTAGAGCCGTAGGCTGAGGTGGCGCCGCAGATGGCTGCCATCGGTTCTGTACCAGAAACAAATTCCTTGTAACATACTTTGCCAATAAAGCTGGTTATTATTCCATTTCAAACATTTACATCTAAGAAATGCAGGGAAATAAAACCGGCACCGCACTACCTTATCATCTGAGGCATCTTCTATCCATTTTTTTGGAAGAAAAATCTGATTTTACACAAAGAAAGTGTTTAGTTAAGCTCTTATGTTATGGAAAACTATGTTCTGTTATCCCCTAAAAATGGAAAAATAAAAAACTTGGTTCTTCACTTCTGTAAGAGTGTTAGCATGATTCAGTGATCTTAAATACGAATTAGATTTCAGTTCATTTTTTGGTCAATGTAATTTTAGAGGTTATTGATCATGACAAATCGTTGTACATTTGTGTGTTTACATCTTACTTTTAGCCACAAACACTGTGTGAAATAAGAGCTGAGCACGTACACACCGAGGGGGCTAAAGCACTGTGTGTTGCCAATTGTGCCTTATATCAATATCACACGCAGAAAAAATGCAAACATAAAAAACAAAAACATGAATGCAATGGATTGCTTTAGTATAGCCTCAGGGTATTGCGTAAGCCTGCTTCGTGGTGCTCCTTTGATTGTTACATTTATCACATTGCATCAGTAGAAAATCCTAAACAAACCTTTTAACAGGCTTTTCAATATTGCAGTAAATGGGCTTCTTATCCTGGAGGCCAACGGGTTTATCTTGTTCTACAAATCCCATGGAGAAGTCTGTGGCTCAAGTTGAAGGACTGAAGCAAGTAACATTTTTTATTGATATGAACTATCATGGAGGCATATTATCATTGTGGAGATTTTAAAAAATTGATTTTCTTTATTTTATTTGTGCAAAAAAAAAAAAAAAAAAAACAAGATAGAACAAATATGACAGGACAGGTTAAGAAGCCACCAGCTTATACCATGGACCTACTCCCAACTCATATGTAAAACATGATATAACAGAATACAAAAAAACAACAACAAAACTATCAGTTAAAGAAAAAAACTCAGTTAGAAAAGGTCATTAATTAATGGACATTAAACATAACCAAACTTGTCATAAAAATGTACATAGTGAAAATTAATCTAAAAAAAACCGAATTAATTACACTTCATGAAGTAACATAAAGGCAATTGACTTCTTAATCTTTAATGAAAGCTTACGATGGCATTGCAAACCGTCTTGAAACATTATTCCCTTCCTTAAACGCGACTGTTGTGTTTTGACACTTTCGAGGTTCCGTAGTTTGTTATCCGGTTTCCTGAAGCAGGGCTGCTGTCATCTAAATAAACAGCATGTAAGAAATTTTGACGTGTTATTTTTAAATAATAGTTACAGTGCTCACTTTGACATTTGTACAAGGACTACTGCTTTTTTTTACAGTTAAAACGACAGCATTAAAAAGTTATTTAGTTGGCTACTCGCGAGCGAAAATTCAGCACGGAAGCTATGACAGTTAGCAAACTTCACGGCTAGTGCCACATCGTCAGAAACTGACAGCAGGGCCGCAGTCGCTACTTTATTTTGTTAATATGCTGTGAGGCTTTTGTTAACAGATGCATTTATCTCAATTATTTTGCTGCATATCTGTGTATGTGATCTATATTTTCTTTTGCTACACAGTGTTTACACCATATGCCGTCCCTGTATATTCATGTAACGTTATTTTTAATAAATACAAATCTAGTCATAGAACTAGAAGAAAACTAACGAGATATTACTCATGTATCTGGACATATAAGTAAATAGGTTAACTTGTATAAGTTTATTTTGCCGTCCTTATTAACATTGCTTTTTTAATTGTTCGCAGGGGTTGATTTTTGCACAGTGTCATCAAGATGCGTAGTCCTCCAAGTGTTGAGAATGTGACCGAAGGAAACTGACTTTCAGAAGCTTTAAGTGCATTTGGATAAGTTGTTTTCAAGTCAGCCATGGCTCGGGAGGAAGAGGACCTGACAGATAATGGGCCCAAGGAATTGGACGTGTTTACATCGGTGCGCTGCCTGGGTTATCTGTCCAGTGTCAACCTCCTGATTGCGGTTTGCGTGGGCATGTACGTACGCTGGGAAGTGACAAGCGAATCAGTGATTCTGGTCATCTTTATCATGGGCCTTTTTGTCTTGGGGATGGCCTGCATCTTTCATTACTACTTTGCTATGGAGAATGCAAGCCTCAGTTTGTTCCATTTGTGGTTTGGCTTTTTGCTTGGTCTTCTGTGCTTCTTCCACAGTCCGGCGTTGGATTCAAATGTCAAAGAACTGGTCGCCAACTATCTCCTCCTAGCCAGTGTAATTATGAAAGCAGTATGGGCTATAACTGAGCGAGTATGCAGCTCGATTCATTACGAACCCACCTTGCTAACATCATCTGAGCTGCTGGACCTCCTGGGATTTGGTATTGCTAGCACTACCATGTTTTTTCTCAACTCATTGGCCATAATAGGCTTGGTAGTGGCCCTGGGGGCACTCATTGTGGACCTTCGGATGAAATCCATCCTGGCTTTGCCCAACCTGGTCAGTTTTTCCTTGATTACATCTCTTGTGTTTTTCCAGGCCTTAGGCATCACAGCAAACCCTTATGCCTTAGGCTGCTACTTGGGCAGACTGCTGTGTGAGCCCGTGTTGGATGTGTACTTCAGTGGGCTGGGCCCCAACAAGCTCTGGATGCAAGTGCTCTCCCTGAGGAACGTGTGGAGGAGATTGTCCCTGCTGCCTTTGAGTCTGACTGAAATTGCCTTCTTTGTTCTGGCAGCTTTAAAGGTACATTAACCATTTGGCAAAAAGTGTGTCAGAAAATTAACATTATCATTAATTGAATCTTTTGGTGTTTGTGTAATTCACTAAAGAATTTGGAGCTCTTCAAACTCTTTAATTTCTCAAAAATGTTGGCACTAATGAAATCTGTTTTTTGAATTAGAATACAGGATAGCTTGAGTACATATTAAGGGTTTGTTTGATGACACCTTTCTTGTCTTACATAGCTTGGCAATTTGGAGCAGTGGTATCTGGTGATCCCAGGTTTCTGTCTGTTTGGCCTTTTCTGGTCCATCTGCCACATAATTCTCCTGATCACAATTTGGGGTTTTCACACCAAGTTGAGTGAGTGTCAGAAGGCCTTGCGTGCCCAGCGATCCAGTACCCGCAGTCTGGACCAAGTCATGGCCTCCAGGGGCATCCGTCACTTCTGTCTTATTTCGGAACGACTGGTGTTCTTTTGTCTGCTGTCAACCATCATACTGGCAGCTGTGTCCTGGCAGGTAGGAGACACAAGAGAGATCAGTGCTGCTGTACTTTAAGTCATTTCAGAAATAATATCATCATCATGAAATATTCTAGTCGATAGGTATCTAAGGATAATATATTTAATTTATTGTTTATGTGTGGTAGTCACATTTCTACCAGTATAGCAAGCACTATTATAGTGATGTCATATAGTTATATTGCTAAGAAATCTCATGGGTGCATTCAGCAGGTTTTGATGTTAAGACTTTCACAGAAAATCTCATAGGTCCTGGTTTAGTATCTCTCTTCTAATTCCTCCCCTACAGCTTAAGCACTTTGTGCTTCATGACAAGGCCTTTATAAACATATCTTACACTCATGTTATAAACTCTGCAAAGAGGTGATAGTGGCAGTGTCTAGTTAGTAGTAGCTCCCTAAGCTGAGGCACTTCTGCGCTGATGCGGAACCAATTTAATTAGCACTTTAATATCCCTATCTACTTGCATAAAGAGCAGCAATAATTTATTTAGCGTTATTAAACATTTACCTTGTAAGAGTCTCATGTGCCTGTGTTCTAATTTGAGATCTGCATGTTATTGCTAGTTGCAAATTTTCCTGAGAATGTGGGAGCTGTCTGCGCTTGCATTATGAGAACGTTACTTTTCAGTCACTGGTGTGTGTGGTTTTTGACATTTTGCAGCTATTACTGTGCTATGAGAATGCAGTTTTATATGGTCAACCACTTAAACAAATACAAAATAACTGCAATTTGGTACAACAGTTTTGTGCTTTATCTACTTAGTGCTTACATATTACAGTATGTAGGCACAGGGGAATATACTGTAACTTGTATGTTATAACTTCATAAAAGTTCACTGAATGAGTACAACACATTTTTCAACTTGGGCACACTTTAGGCATTTTGCTGTAGTCTGCTGACCCGAGTGTGGTTCCTCTTAACTATGAAAGTATTTACATTCTCAGATAAAGAAACTGAAAGTACAAAGTTGTACAATATTCTGTTTTAATGGATACTTGTGATGCATGTTTAGTGTGCTGTCATACAGTGCAGTGCATCTCCCCTGTCATGTTTTGTCCTGCTTTAATAACACAGTGTCAGGCCCATATTATAGAACTGTCTTGCAGAGTGTCACCACCAATTAACTGAGTCTGATTTCTTTGGTACAAGCTGTAAATTGTGAATGAATGTGACTCTGATTCATTTGCTTTTTGCAGCCCTCCGACTGTCTGTTTCTGAGCATTCTGCTTGTGGTGCTGCCTTTGGAGTCTCTGACCCTCAGCTTGTTCCACGACCTGGGCAGCTGCCTGGGGGGAACCTGTGTTGGCTACGCCCTGGTCATACCAACCGCTTACTGCAGGTACTGGACACACAGGAGTATAGAGATGCGTACAATTTAGCACAGTCAAACTTGCACTCCTAAATTGGAAACGACCGATTCTGATTATTGATTAAAAACAATCAGCAACAGATTAGAGTAGTCAGGTATTATTCTGTCAGTATAACAGCAGAAAGAAGTAAAACAAACTCTAAACTATCTAATAAAAGCAAAACAAAAAAAACAACAACTCAGCATTTGAAAAGCTTAGACTTTTTTTGAATAATTATACTCTCTGGATACTCAGCTAATCGCAGCACACATACACTCATTCTGTCTTCGTCCTCAGTTAACACAAAATCAACTGGATAAATAGACCAAATAATTTTAGATAAACATGCCGCTAATGTTTGTGTCCTTAAGGGATCTTTCTAGTGCTCCATCCGCAGCATATTAAGTTGTTGAGCTGGAGCAGTTAACCATAAGCTGCTGCTGATGCCTCTTCCAGTACCCTTTCAGTTTTTTGGAACAGCCTTGTTAGTTATAATGATGTCAGTGTGTCTCTTCATAAACAGCAGAAGCTAGCTATCAGTTATACATTTCTGTTTATATTTTCAATAACCCCTCTAGAGTCTGGCCTCTGGAGACTCATTTAGTTTTAAATTTATTAATGACCACTCTTTAGCTTATAGTTATATTTAGCACTCACAGGGAATGCCAGGCTATGGTGTTCAACTCTCCAGGTGATTTTGGATGCAGGCCCATGTCCTACTGGATCTATGGACATTTGTATGCAATACTGCATGCACATGGTCCGTAGGGAGGACTGAGAGCATGATGAGAATGTGGCAGTGTATAATCGGCCGTTTGATGGCTGCAGATCATGTTTTTACAATGACAAGAGCCCCATGGGAGATTAGAGAGATAGGGGTGAGAAGGGGAGGCGCACAGGGTAAAACAGGGAGGATGAGACAAGGGAATGAAAACACAAGGAGAGAGGACTGAGGTTATAAACAGTGGTGCTAAAAGCAAATGGGACAGACAGAGCAAAGGAACGTGCGGAATTGTGAAAGTGGGAGGGAGGGGCGGAGTCCTAAGAGAGCTCTGGAAAAAGGACAGATTTTTTTTTAAGGATGAAAGAAAGATCGTAACAGGGAATCTCAAACTACAAGCCATCTCTCCTGGGCGCTATAAGATCTGAAAAGATTAACTGGGTTTAGGTGAAAAGTGAGCTTGCCTAGCCACATGGAGGTTGCATCATGTCAGTTTCTAACAAGTGCAGTGTGTCTTTATAGCAGGCCTGACCATTATGCCAAAATTTCTGAAGAAAACTGTCTCTGATTTTCCAGGATAGAGAAGAATAAATAAACCAAGTTGTGTCAGCATAAAGTACAGCGAACACATCACACGCCAGAGGTGTACATGCCCTGTGGTTGTCAACAAATACAAACCACTTATCTGTCCACTGGCAGCAAAAATCAGTCCTCTTTTTTTCCACATAAGATAAGCGTTCACCTGTCCTCGTCAAGGTGAGGTTGAAGGTGATAACGCAAGCACAGGGTGCAATATGATGGCTGAATTATGGTTTATAAAAGTGAAGTATGAGTTTGCCATCAGCTTGAATGTGAATAATATCCAAAGTCCAGAGATGGAAAAAAAAAGTGTGTAGCTGCACTGAATAGTTCCTAGCTTTAACCCTTCTGTTCACCATTATTATCAAACATGCATACACATATACATTTTTATAAGTACTTTGCCTTCAACTGTCTCACTTTGTTTTTGTCACCCTTTTCAGTTCTCTTCTGTATACTGTGAAGGGAAAAGTCCTGTATACCTGTACTAAAATGAACAACCTTTAAAGAGAATTGAGATAGATATGTCCTTTATTTCTTGCAAGAAATAGGAGTGGTCTACAATAGGACTCATAGAGGTCCGTTAGAGAGGCTCCAAGAACAGAGGCAACTCAGTCACACATATATGAGCTTTACACAGGGTTTGGAAGCATCAAAAGAAATGAATGTGGACTGATAACATTCATACACATATGCTTCTCATTAGACAGAGGTCCTCGTCCTGGTACAGAGAGATACTCTAATGAGGGAGTAGATCTTTCAAGGACAGGTTACGCTACATCTTGTTGCTGTGCAGAAAAGCTGAAAGTTCATACATTCAGTGTGACAAGGTTCACCTCATTCTGATGCATACTAAGTTACAGTTTAATGCATAAAGAGTAAAACCAAAAATTGCTTCCACAATATCCCCTCCCTTTTTGCCATTTCCTTACTTTCCTTTCATTGTCAACTCCCTTTTTGCACCTGAGGCTAATGTCATTTGCTGAAGCAGTGATCCACCACTCCTCCTTCCATCATCTTTACCAGGTCTCCTCTTGTCCTCTTCATCTTCTCTTTCCCCAACAAAGCAAAAGCTACTTTGTGTGTCAAACTATCACTCAATCATCTCTCAGCTGCTTTCCACCCCAGCCCTGCTTCTGACAAGACACCTAATGTGAATTGCCATCAGAATAAATAAAAACCAATTGTTTTCCTCTCATCTCTCTCTTCTATCCAGTGCTGATGGCCAGCCCACACTTCTACCACCTGAGAAGGTAGAGCAGTTGAATCTGCGCTCTACAGGTATACTGAACAATGTGCAACGCCTTTTCTCCCATCACATGATTGAGACATTTGGCTGCGACTATTCCACTGGTGGTGTTACCTTGGAGGCCGTGCAGACCAAGCTGCGTGACTTTCTGGAGCGTCGTACTGCAGATGGGCCACGTCATGACACCTATCTGATTTTCTACAGTGGGCACACACACAAAGGCACCGGGGCCTGGGCTCTTGCAGGTGAGAGCCAGACATCCACATTATTTCCTTATCTTTGAAGTTCTTCTTTACCTTGTTGGAAGATTCAGTCTTCAATCCCCTGTCTTATGTCGTTCATGCAATTTCTATGGATGCGTTAGGGATGCACTCTTAGGTCAAAGTGTTTGTCATATGCACAGTTAGGAAATGTGTTTCCCTGTACAATGAAATTCTTTGCCGTCCACATGAATGCTACGCAATACAAGTGAAATATAAAGTGGATCAGCAATAACACAAATCTACATAGGCAGTAACACAAATCTAAGTCACTTTATAGCATCAAGTGAAGGAAGCAAATAAAAATACAACAAGAACACAATATAATGCAGAGAGAATATATGCTACGTGGAAGCCATGAAGTGCAAATATTCAGCAGTGAGTGGGCAATTATGCATGTGCAAAATGAGTATGTAAACAGTACAGATGGAATTACATGAGGTAGATCCTGATTCAGTTGTTTAGGAGTCTAATGGCAGAGGGAAAGAAAGAGTTTTTCAGCCTAGAGGTCCTGCATTTCACACTTCTGAACCTCCGACCGGAGGGTGGGGGTATGAACAATCCGTGCTAGGGGTGGGTGGGGTGCTTGAGGATGGATGCAGCTTTCCTACGCACCCTGTGGTAGTAAATGCTCTGCAGAGAGGGTAGTGGAGTCCTGGTGATCTTCTCTGCAGTCTTTACCACTCTCTGCAGGCGCTTGTAGTCCATAGCAGTAGTGCTGCCATACCAGACAGTGATGCAGCTGGTCAAGATGCTCTTGACGATACAGCTGTAGAAGCTGCAAACGATCCTAGGCAACATGCCAAACCTCCTCAGCCTCCTCAGGAAGTACAGCTGCCGTTGGGCCTTCTTGACCAGCTGTGTGGTGTTAAGTGTCCAAGTGAGGTCCTCAATGATGTGGACGCCCAGGTATTTGAAGCTGCTCACCCTCTCCACTTTGAGCCCCAGGATGAACAGTGGCTGATGAGTTCTCCTGTCCTTCCTCATGTCCACTATCATCTCTTTTGTCTCGTCTGTGTTGAGGGTAAGATTATTGTCCTCACACCATGACACCAGACCGGCCACCTCCCTCCTGTAGGCTGCTTCGTCCTCGCCAGTGACATGACCTATCACTGTGGTGTCGTCCGGGAACTTTAGGATGATGTTGTCTTTGTGGGAGGTGACACAGTTGTGGGTGAACAGGGTGTAGAGGATGGGACTGAGGACACATCCCTGTCGGGTGCCGATGTTCGTGATAATACTGGCTGAAGTCCTGTTGCCAATCCTGACAGTCTGGGGCCTGCCATTCAAAAAGTCACAGAGTGTGGGGTGCAGACCCAGTGTGGACAGTTTGTGGGGGACAACTGTGTTGAAGGCAGAGCTGTAGTCAATGAAGAGTATCCTCATGTAGGAGTCTCCATTTTCCAGGGGAGAAGGGGAATGGTGGAGGGCAGCCGCGATGGCGTCTGAAGTGGCCCTATTGGGCCGGTAGGCATACTGCAGGTGATCCAGGTATATACTACTCTATGTGTGTGCTTCCTCTCTGTGCTGTAGCTGTAGGTCTCAAAGCACGTGTAGAAGGTGTTGAGGTCATCCGGCAGGCTGTCTGTGGAGCTGATGATGCTGGTGGTGGTCCTGTAGTCTGTGATGTGCCACATTCATCCAGAGTCAACAGTAGAATAGAAGCCATTCAGCTTCTCTCTGTACTGCCTCTTGGCCACTGTGATGGCTTTCCTCAGTCTGTACTTTGCAGCTTTGTACT